TCACAGAAGATGAAGAGGCAGCCAAGAGCAGATACTCCTGGCTGGTGAGAACTATTTACCTCTTCCACTGCCCTCTGCCTTCCCACATTCCTTCTGAGGCTTGGAGGGACCTCACCTCATGTGCTAGACATGGAGGGGACAATATGGTTAGCTCTGTATACTGATTGGACTTCACATAAACACAGTCCTTTTCAGGATCACAAGGTAAGTGGGAGCAAAGTGGTACAAGAGTGGCTCCTCCCTTGTGGGGCTCCTGCTCTGATTGGACAGGGAGACTCGGATGTGTAGATGATGAGTAAGAAAAATATCATGTGGTCACAACTGGCAGTTGAATCCCCAGGCAGGCTGAAAGAGCTTTGATGACAGTAGAGTAAAAGAATTCTTCTATTACCTCCCCACAAAAAAAAAATAAAAGGTCTTTAACTTCTTTTCTGAAACACAGATTGCCAAAAGGAGAAACTGCTACGAGTATGTGGATGGAAAGGACAGGTCCTGGGCCAACTGGATGAGGTGAGGTCAGCAGGTCTCTGGGTGCTAGAGGGATTCTCATCCCCCACAAGCCCATATATCTTTCCCTCTCATCATGCCTCCCTCAATGGTCTCCCTTAATCCTTTTTTCCTCTTTTTCTCCATACAATGTTATTTCATTTCAGGGGACATATATGAAAAAAGTATAGCATATGTCCTCAAAATAAAAACCTCTCTGCTAGACACAGTATGGGCACTGTAAAGGACCTTGAAGAGCCTAGATTCACCAGGGACACTGGATTACACTTTAATTTATCAAATGAGCAGTAATTAAGCACTTACTACATTCCAATGTAGGTGAAGGAATACATTACTTTAATAGATCACAGTGGATCTATTGTGGCGTTGCTCAGTGGATTGAGCGTGGACTGCGAACCAAAGCATCACAGGTTCGATTCCCAGTCAGGGTACATGCCTGGGTGCAGACCATGACCCCCAGCAACTGCACATTGATGTTTCCCTCTCTCTTCCTCCCTCCCTTCCCTCTCTAAAAATAAATAAATGAAGTCTTTAAAAAAAATAGATCGCACAACCTATGTCCTTATGAAGGACTTCTCACAGACAGACATAAAATAATTGCTTTTAGAAACATTTAACTATAATTTCCAAGAAGTGCACAGTGTCAAGATACCACAAACCAAGGATGGCCTAAACCTGTGAGGGCAGTAAATCATCCCAGCCTCACTTCAAACTAAAACTGTGTTCTGAGGCCTGCAAAGGAATGGTCATGGGCCCCTTTCTTGAGAGGGGCTCCCTTTTACCGGGGTTACCTGAATGTGAATCTACTATTGTTCTGTTTCATTTTATTAAGACAAAAAGACCTCTAATTTTCTATAGTAACCTTGGGCAAGCAAGTGAATGGTACTCTGAAGTGTAGAGAGGTTGGAGAAAGGCCTCACAAGAAATAGATGTGGGCTGAGTACTGGATAATTAGTGAGCTAATTTAGAAGCAGAGCCCTAGGTCAAGCACCATGTTCTGTGGTGTGAGACAACTTGATTTAGAGTTTGGAGAAGTCAGAGATCACTGGATATTATGGCCAGTCAAGGTGGAGGTTAAGTCTAGAGCTGGGTTTTAGAAAATGGTGTTAGATAGGATTAGCACTGCAAATAGAATGTGGAGACAGGAGTTCACATGACATGCTGACAGACGCTCAGACAGTGAACAGAGGTTCCCCGGGAGCATGAAGGGCAGTGGGCAACACCAGAGCCTGAGGGCCTTAAGAATCAGTGAGGAGCTGGACATGAACGTGACAGGTCGTGCAAACTCATCACTGTGGTTTTCTTTCCCTTTGCCTCAATCCCAGGTATGTGAACTGTGCCCGGGATGATGAAGAGCAGAACCTGGTGGCCTTTCAATACCATGGGCAGATTTTCTACCGAACCTGCCGGGTCATCGGCCAGGGTTGTGAGCTGCTGGTCTGGTGTGGGGACGAGTATGGCCAGGAGCTGGGCAGCAAGTGGGGCAGCAAGTGGAAGAGACAGCTCACATCCCGGAGAGGTGGGCACCACTATTCTTCAAAACAGAAAGAAAAGAGAGAATTCTCCATAGAAATATCCATGATCCAACTCTTTTTTTTTTTTTTAAGGATTTTTTTAAAATCCTTTAAATTTATTTATTTATTTATTTATTTATTTAGAGAGGGAAGGGAGGGAAAAGAGAGAGAGAAACATCAATGTGTGGTTGCTGAGGGCCGTGGCCTGCAACCCAAGCATGTGCCCTTACTGGGAATCGAACCTGCGACACTTTGGTTCGCAGCCCGCACTCAATCCACTGAGCTACGCCAGCCAGGGCCATGATCCAACTCTTAACTAGAGTAAACCACTCTAAAGTCAGTAAAGTTTCAAATCAGATGCTTCAGAAATTCAAAATTCTTTCATATGCCTTTGACTCTTAGGCAAAATTTTTTTATTTTAAAAATATTTTATGCACAAAATATACAACCACTTTTAGTGCTGTGAGGCTGAGGCAAAAAAAAAACTTTTTAAGCACTAACCAGCTCTCTCACCAAGGCAGCTTTTCTGACATTTTTATAGCTGTTTCTTATTAACTTTCCTCCATACTTCTAAATATTTCTGTTTATAGGCATTTATTATTTTTTAAAGACTTTGCCCTGCCTGGTGTTACTGAGTGGACTGAGTGCCAGCCTGTGAACCAAAGGGTTGCCGATTCCCAGTCAGGGCACATGCCTGGGTTTCAGGCCAGGTCCCCAGTAGGGGGCATGTGAGAGGCAACCACAGATGTTTCTCTCCCTCTCACTCCCTCCTTTCCCTCTTCTCTGAAAATAAATAAAATCTTTTTTAAAAATATTTTATTTATTTTTACAGAGAGTAGAAAGGAGGGGGAAAAAAACTCAATGTGCAAGGGAAACATTAATCAGTTGTGTCTGGCACACCCCCAACTGGCCCACAACCCTCCTGGCATGTGTCCTGACTAGGAATTGAACTTGTAACCTTTCAGTTTGTGGGACAACACCCAACCCACGCCATTTAGGCAGGACACATTCGTTTGTCATTTCAGTGAATTATCATGAGAGATCCTACTCTGGCGCACATGGTCTTGGGATCAGGAAATACAGATTAACATGAGAATCAGAATCATTGTTTTTGAAGGGCTGATGGGTGTAGCAGGGAAATCCAGGTCCACGTGCTTGCATGTGCATAAAGCTACACAGCAGTTAGTGCTTTGGAGAAGCACTAATCCAGGACAAGTGCCCTGGATCAGTGTGAGAGCAGGTGCGGCCAGGAAGGGCTGTTTCGGGAGACAACATTCACAAAAATACTTGTGGGCAAGGGATCCCCGGCCGAGGGAGCAGCTAGTACAGGGAAGAAAAGAAGTGGGGCATAGAACAGAGATCAGATGGATGCTTAGCAGCCCAGAAATGCAGTGCTGATGATCCAAGTTGAGACACTGGGGAGTTTCCTGAGAGAAAGTGTGCAGTCATCAGCTGTAGAGCGGTGTGCTCTCTGTTCTGATTATGCTTTGTTCATTTTTAGAAAATAAACCCCAGTGGGGAATCCCCTCAGATCAGTTCCTCTCCAAGTGAGAGAGCATAGTGGATTGTCCAGAGAGGAACAGGAGTCAGGCATGTAAGACATGTGGTTGTAGAAAAAATTTAAAACAGGACTTCTCAGTGTATTTGAAATGGGCTAACACTGAATGAGATGGAGCATTAATATTTGGTGTGAGGCTTGAGGAAGGACTTTTTTTTAAAGATTTTATTCATTTTTAGTGGGGAAGAGGGAAACATCCCTGTGTAGTTTCCTCTCACACGCCCCCTACTGGAGACCTGGCCCACAACCTAGGCATGTGCCCTAAGTGGGAATCAAATTGGACTCCTTGCCTTGCAGGCTGGCACTCAATCCACTGAGCCACATGAGCAAGGGCAGGAAGGAGATTTTATTTTACCGTTTTGGAAAACAAGCAATTCCTAGTTGGGGCCTGTGGTTTTCCTCTTTAATATGACAGAAAATACCTATAGAAGGGAAAGGTCACTGCAGTTCCATCCACACAGGGAGTAAGATGGCCTCTGATGCTGCTCGAAAATCCCCAGTCCAGGCAATATTAGAAGAGACCCTTGATGTGGGCTTTCTGTATTTCTGAAGAAGATGCACTGCATAAAAATAAAAAGGAAAATAGATGGCAAGTGGACACTTTGTGGGAGAGGGAGCTTGTGTTCTCACCACAGTAAGAAGGATTCGTGGGGCTGGTATTACCAGGAGACAAGTCATATGCCCAGGCATTCTCATCAATGTCTGCCCTGACCAAACCTTTCTCTTTCAGCAGAACGAGAGCCAGAGGTCCACCCATGTCCCTCCTGCAATCTGTCCTCCAGTCAGAAATTCCTCAGCCAACACGTGAAATTCAATCATTCCTCTCAGATTCTCCCAGGAATATCTGCGAGAAAACACCTCCAAGCAGAGGAACCCTGTCCAGAGGATCAGAATCAGCACGAGCAACATACTAATACACCCAGCTGGAATGAAAAAGCTGAAGGTCAAGAGGTCAAAGAAAGGTCCAACCTTTTGCTTAAAAGGATCAGTCAGAGGAGAATCTTAAGACCCTTTTTCCAAACTTCCAAAGAACAAATGAGGAGCTCTAGAGAGCATGGTACAACGATGGAGGAAGAGCCCTGCAGAGGCCAGAAAGAGAGTCCAGAGGGCACAGGCAAGTTATTTGTGAAAGTAGGAATGTCAAGAATTATAACAATCAAGCATGGAAGGTGTTGGCAAGGCTTCAATGATGGGTCACATCTCATTAGAGATCAGAGGACACACTCAGGGGAGAAGCCCTATGTTTGCAGGGAGTGCAAGCGAGGCTTTACACGGAAGTCACATCTCATCACACACCAGAGGACACACTCAGGGGAGAAACCCTATGTTTGCAGGGAGTGCAAGCGAGGCTTTACATGCAAGTCAGATCTCATCACACACCAGAGGACACACTCAGGGGAGAAGCCCTATGTTTGCAGGGAGTGTGGGCGAGGCTTTACATGCAAGTCAAATCTCATCAGACACCAGAGGACACACTCAGGGGAGAAACCCTATGTTTGCAGGGAGTGTGGGCAAGGCTTTACACAGAAGTCACATCTGATCACACACCACAGGATGCATTCAGGGGAGAAGCCCTACGTTTGCGGGGAGTGTGGGAGAAGCTTTACACAGAAGTCACTTCTCATCAGACACCAGAGGATACACTCAGGAGAGAAGCCCTGTGTTTGCAGGGAGTGTGGGCGAGGCTTTACATGCAGGTCAAATCTCATCGCACACCAGAGGACACACTCAGGGGAGAAACCCTATGTTTGCAGGGAGTGTGGGCAAGGCTTTACACAGAAGTCACATCTCATTACACATCACAGGATGCATTCAGGGGAGAAGCCCTACGTTTGTAGGGAGTGTGGGAGAGGCTTTACACAGAAGTCACTTCTCATCAGACACCAGAGGACACACTCAGGGGAGAAGCCCTACGTTTGCAGGGAGTGTGAGCGAGGCTTTACACGGAAGTCATATCTCATCACACACCAGAGGACACACTCAGGGGAGAAGCCCTATGTTTGCAGGGAGTGTGGCCAGAACTTTACACGGAAGTCACATCTCTTAAGACACCACAGGATACACTCAGGGGAGAAACCCTATGTTTGCAGGGAATGTGGGCGAGGCTTTACATACAAGTCACATCTCATCACACACCAGAGGACGCACTCAGGGGAGAAGCCCTATGTTTGCAGGGAGTGTGGGCGAGGCTTTACACAGAAGTCACTTCTCATCACACACCAGAGGACACACTCAGGAGAGAAGCCCTATGTTTGCAGGGAGTGTGGGAGAGGCTTTACACAGAAGTCACATCTCATCACACACCACAGGAGACATTCAGGGGAGAAGCCCTATGTTTGCAGGGAGTGCAAGCGAGGCTTTACATGCAAGTCAGATCTAATCAGACACCAGAGGACACACTCAGGGGAGAAACCCTATGTTTGCAGGGAGTGTGGGCAAGGCTTTACACGGAAGTCATATCTCATCACACACCAGAGGACACACTCAGGAGAGAAACCCTATGTTTGCAGGGAGTGTGGGCAAGGCTTTACACAGCGGTCACATCTCATCACACACCAGAGGACACACTCAGGAGAGAAGCCCTACGTTTGCAGGGAGTGTGGGAGAGGCTTTACACAGAAGTCACTTCTCATCACACACCACAGGACACACTCAGGGGAGAAACCCTATGTTTGCAAGGAGTGTGGGCGAGGGTTTACATGCAGGTCAAATCTCATCAAACACCAGAGGACACACTCGGGGGAAAAGCCCTATGTTTGCAGGGAGTGTGGACGAGGCTTTACAAGGAAGTCAGTTGTCATCAGACACCAGAGAACACACTCAGTGGAGAATCCCTATGTTTGCAGGTGGACTGAATGAGTCATTAGCATTAAGTTGCATATCGACAGCTATAGGAAGCCTGTGGCCCCTTACTTTCCCCAAGATTGTAATTAGTACAGAAGTAACTGATTAAACAAACCCTCCAGTCTCATGATAAGAGATGAGATGGACAAATAGTTCCATGAGTAATATGGGGATATCAGCACCAATCTCTTTCATGGTTTTTTGATGGCCTTTTCTAAAGAGTTTTGTCTCCATACAAATATGAAGCCCACATCCCTCATTCCGCCATCACTGAAAGCAGAGTTCGGGAAGAGCCACAAAGAACTCATACTCTCAGCCACAGAAATTCAACCCCTACAAATGGGTAAGTCTGGAGCCAGTCTACTTTGGTTACTGCCCAGAGAGAGGGATTTGAGACAGACTCACCAGAGAAGGGAATTCCCGGACTCCTAGGAAGTGGGGCCTTTTCTCTTAATACGCTCCCTACCCTCCTCCCTTGGCTTCCCTTGGCTCTTCTAGTTTCTACAACCTCTGGAGCCTCAGGGATGAATGGCAGGGAGGGATGTGTGCTTGTGCAGGGACATGAGCCTGGCTCAGTCTGGGCACCTGGTCTTCCTCACTCTCCTTGCTGCCCCTTCAGGATCAGCATTTCCTGGTGCACAGCACACAGATTCCACATCAGTCCATAGTGGGTGTGAGTCTCAGCTCTGTCTTCTCCAGCTGTGTGACCTAAGGCAAGATTCCCAACTTCTCTCTTCCTGCTTCCTAGTCTGTACACTGGAAATGGGAACTCCAGCCTTTCAGTTTGACATTCAAAGTTGAGTGAGCACAGACAGAATCTGGCAAGTGGATCACTGAGATCACAAGTCCTGCTGAACAGCCATCAGTGCCCTTGTCTTCTGGGTCTTTAGCACTGGACAAAGGAAGATAAGGACAGGGTAGGGGTCTGTCACCAAACTCAAATTTTGAGCAGAGCTGACTGCTTTCCCCATGTGGACTCAACTGCCCTGAGAAGGAGGCGTGAGGTGGAGGATGTGCCTCCCTCCAGACTACCACCCTCTCACTGAGCTTGTGCACCCTCAGAGCCTCCTCAATACAGGCGGGTGGTACTGAAAATACCCTTTGAAACAAGACCCTCACCCACCCCTTGCTGGGAACTGACACTGGGAGCAACATCTGCCCACACTGGTGTGTTAGGTAGGATAGATGGTAAGCCAAGGCAGGGAGGATGAGGAAGACGTGTCACCCACTAACTCAGCAGTCCTGGGCCTGGTCCAATTCTATTGCCAGATGGTCCAGCATCACCAGAAATACCATGCTAACATGAAATTCTAAGTATTATTTCCACCATCTGGGAAAGAAAGGCTTTGAAACTATTCATCCCAAGGCCTAGAAGATGGGAGGGGTTCCACAGCACTCAAGGAAAGGACCCATAAAACAAAGTTGGCTAACTGCCCCTGTCCACTATCTGTTTTATGAAGGGTCCCTAATGTTTACAGAAAGAGCCCATAGATAACTTTGGGTGACTGCTTTAACTTTCACTGTCTCCTATCTCATACCTATTTTGCAAGAAGACCAAATGGAGTCTGAAGCCACATAAGGATTTGGGCTACCAACCCCCACACATACCTACGTTTGAGTAGTCTCATCCCCTGTGGAAGCTGGTACCACTTTTACCTGTCAATCAATATGTAGCTTCTTTGCCCCCATCCCACCAACTGTGTAAGTCCTCAGGACAAAGGGCCTGGTGCTCTTGCCACCCAACTTCTTGCCTTTCACTCCCATCTCAGCAAGACCTGTCCTCTTCCATGAGAACATATCGCTAACAAACCCTGTTTGCACACTAATACACTTGCTGATCTGTAATCCTTTACTGCATTGGCAAGAACCGAGTTTCTCCTGTGACAGGTGCACCCAGTCTGCATATGGCATTCATGAAGCCTGCAACACAGGAGCTTCTGTAATGCACTCTTCTTGTACCTGGGTCCCACAGGGCTGAATACACCACTGACACCATCTCGAAATTAGTACTTACTGTATCTTTAAACTTTTGTTTGTGAGGTCAAGCCTGATGGGATAATGGACATGCACAATCTTGTTCATTCCTGGCCACCCCTTCCCAGATGTCCACAATGGCCCAGGAGGACAAAATTCCAGTGGGCCCAATGGTGGGAGTCCAGCAAGACTCAACATGAGAACAGGGTAAACATCTGCATTTGCATAAGCAAAAGGAAGGGTGCTAACAGCTCCGAGAGGTCACACTTTTCTTAGAACCAGAGCTGAGTTCAATACACAGAGATGGCAATTAGCAAGGACCCCATCATACCCTCTCCTGCATGAGGGAGACCTAAGCATGACCCACCCTGTTCCTGTTGGGGTGGGTTCACCAAAGGGGGACACCTACCCCCATGACCGGAACAATGACCTTTCTGTCCTCCCAGTGCCAGGCTTATGAAGAAGAGTGTCTACATAAACTGTAGATTTCAATAATAAATATTCACTATTATGTTCTTTTCTGTTTTTTTAAAGGAAGGTTATTTCTCGGGTTTCATTTCCCTTCCCTGTTTCTCCCGACCAGCACAACCCAGAGAGAACACCATAAACTCAATATTCTGTGGCTTTCAGCATGGGCCATGGGAGAGGGGCAGAGTCCTGGTGTAATGCTGGCAGAGGGACTGGCACTGAAATACAGTAGGGGCGGGAACCCACAGACTGCCAAGTGATGGTCACTACCACCCCACCAGGACAGACCCTGGAGCCCTCCCAGAAGGTTTAGCAATCCAAGATGAGTAGAGAAGTCTGTGCCCTCTCCCTCCCCTCCAGCAGCAAACCACATTCCTAGTGTAGCTGCCAGCCTCCAAGGTGTCCCCCAAATGCACATGCCCTTGTACAGTCCCTCCTTCACACAACCGAGCTGATCTGTGCTGTGAAAATGGTGGGTGGCTCTCAAAGTTAAGTCATAAACAAGCCCTTTTGTTTCAGCCTTGCTTGCACAGTTCACATGGTCTCAGACCACCTTGTGCAAGAAGCTGGGTGCTTACATTACTTTAAAGCTACTGTGTATGTGGTCTCCCATGATCTTTGATTGACCACCAAGGAAGGGGGTCCCACAAAGCTGATTTATTATAATGCTATAATGAAGCAGGGGTCATGTAGCATCTTCTGTATAGTTGCATTCAAGATTCTCCATGATTCAGCACTTTTATAGAAGCAGGAACGACCAGTCTTAGAACAGGATCTCTGTCCTCTATCAATGTCCTTTATCTCAGCTCTGGAGCACCTCTGGAGTTTTCTCCTGACTGTCTCCTGCCTCAAATCCAGGCATGTGCTGTGACTGGGAATGGAATTGGAGACCTTTTGCTTGGCAGGCGGACACCCAGCCCACTGAGCCACACCAGTCAAAGCCATTGCTTGAGTCTTGGCATGTGCCTTGACCAGGGATCAAACCTGCAAACTCATTTCCAACCCCCACACACCTGAAAAAAAAACCCTGTAGAGCTATTTAAAAAACTTCACATGAGCCCTCGCTGGTGTGGATCAGTAGACTGAGCACTGGCTTACAAACTGAATGGTCACAGTTGGACTCCCAGACAGGGCTCATGGCTGGGTTGAGGGCCATCTCAGTTTCGGGGGTGTGTGAGGCAACCAATCAATGTATCTCTTACACACATCCACACATCAATGTTTCTCCCCCTCTCTTTCTCCCCTCCCCTCCCCTCTCTCTAAAAATAAATACATAAAATATTTTTTAAAAAACTTAACATGAGCGGCAAAATTGGATTCAGCATTTAGGGATGATCCACTACACTCAACGTTTCCTTCTGGTCTGCACCAAGGTGTTTTCCCAACGTGAACACCAGATGGCAGAAGAGAGGAGCACCTGGAACATTTTTTCAGTGATCACATTGTACTGTAAAGCAAGTTTCAGCAAACTTCAAAAAACTGAAATTATGTAAAGCTTATTGTTGCCACTAATTGCAGTTAATATACAAGTCAGTAACAAAAGGTTACTAAAAAGTCCATAGTTTTAAAAGTGATGAAACGCACATCTAAATAACATCGGATTCCACATTCCTAGGTGATCCACTATACCCACAACTTTTCCTGCGGACCTGCACTGCGTTATTCCCAAGTTGAACACCAGATGGCAGCACAGAAACACACTGGTACCATGAAGCAAGTTTCAACAAGCTTCAAAGGATTGGAATTATATAAAGTAACATTTCTTGCTCTCATTGCGGTTAATCTAGAATTCAGTAACAAAAGGTAACTGGAAAGTCCTTATATTTAGGAGTTATGGAACACAGTTCTAATTAACCCTCAAATAAATCACTATTGCAGGCGGAAAATAGTTTGAACTGAAAGGCACTACATACCAAAAGCTACAGGGAAACGTGTCGTCTTCAGTGCACACAGCAGGAAAGGACAAAAGCTGGCGCTCCAATGGCTCTGAACCCACACAAAGACCACTGCGTACTGAGTCAAATCGAGAAAGTAGCAGAAAGGAAATGTGCACGTACACGTGTCTGGGAGGGTATACACTTAGAGTGGTAGTTAATATTCCCTGGGGTAGGATTTTCGGTTAGCTTAATTTTCCTGTATAGTTTCAGTAAGCTGCAATAAACAAATCCATTTTCATTTCAGGAAAAAAAAAGTACCACAGAAAAATGTTGAATAATTTTATAGAATTATAAATTATTCTATATAGAATACTTGTAATGGTTGAATTATAATAATCCAGACTGTTGTAGGGACACCAGAATCCTTTACTCATCCAGTTGGGTCTCTTGACAGTTAGCAGGGAAAAAATTGTAACAATTTAGACCAAAATGGCTCCTTTTCTTATTTGCACTTCGTGTGCATTGCAGCAGTTCTGATAGAAGAAACTCCTCACCTTTTGGCCTCTAAAAGTGATGTGAGCCTGGGTCTGCCATTTACAAACTACATTCTTTGGGACATGGAAGAAGCCTCCCAGGGTCTTTGCTTTCTCACTTGTAACATTTCTCATTTTTATAGCTTACAACACTTACCCCCCCAAAGTACCTGGACTTCAGACTTGGCTTTTCTTCCTGAGAGCCTGTGAGGCTGCACCTGGCAATGCTCAGAGAACAGGGACCAGAAGTCGTGCGCTCTGGTCCCTGCGCCCTACAGCTGGTCCGTGGT